CTCCCGGCACTGCCCGACTTCTTTGAGTTCCATCCCTTTCCTGGCTTTTCATCCTTGCTGATTCTGTAAGGGATAGCGCAGCCAGCGGATGTCCCAGGCCAAACGTTTTTTGATAGGCTGTTGATGACTTTCCCGAGGGCGGTGGTTGGGGGCGAGGCTGCCTGCCTCCCAAGAGCAGCAGCACGCCAGGGAGCCGGCAGGGAGGGGAGTGCTGCCACCGAGGTCAGGAGCAGGGTCCTGGGCCTCATTAGGTCCTGTGTGGCCGATACTTCCCGCCCACGACCGTCCCCCGGATTTCCATTTGCTAATACCTCACCCGTCCGTAGCCTTCTTTCCTCAAAGTTGCATAAAGTTGAAAGCTCTTTAACTTGCCTCCCCGACTCCTGAAATCCTGAATACACCTCTGAAAAGGAGTGTGCTCACAAGTATTCTCATTTTTCAATTAGACTCAGTTAGTTAGTCATTAAGAAAGATACGGTATTCTGAGTGTCAAGCCAATAGGAGACTTGTGGTTGAAGCTCTGCTCTGTGTTATACTCCATTTCAATTTAAAAAGTTTATTTTAAATGTCGTTGTAGATCCTTCCTCACCATTTCTCTATGGAGGACTTAATTCGTACACCCCTTCCCGAGGTCTTTGACCTCTAATTACTCCCTCCCACTTTGTTTGCCACTTGCATGATTTCTGTTTCTGAATTTCTGTTTCTGCTCTGAGGGAACATGCCGATTTGGTAATGATAAGTCATGTAAACTTTTTTTTTTCTCTGAGACAGTCTCCTGTCGCCCAGGCTGGAGTGCAGTGGGGCATCTCAGCTCCCTGCAACCTCCACCTCCTGGGTTCAAGGATTCTCCTGCCTCAGCCTCCCCAGTAACTAGGACTACAGGTGCGTGCCATCACACCCAGCTAATTTTTGTATTTTTGGTAGAGATGGAGTTTCACCATGCTGGCCAGGCTGGTCTCGAACTCCTGGCCTCTGGTGATCCACCCACCTCGGCCTCCCAAAGTGTTGAAATTACACGTGTGAGCCACCGCCCCCGGCTGTAAACCCTTTTTTTTTTTTTCCTGAGACGGAGTCTCGCGCTTGTTGCCCAGGCTGGAGTGCAATGGCGCGATCTCGGCTCACCACAACCTCCACCTCCCGGGTTCAGGCGATTCTCCTGCCTCAGCCTCTCGAGTAGCTGGGATTAAAGGCGCACACCACCATCCCTGGCTAATTTTGTATTTTTAGTAGAGACAGGGTTTCACCATGTTGGTCAGGCTGGCATAAACCTTTTTATACATACCATCTGTCAGCATGATCATGGCTTTTTCTTTCTTTCTTTTTTTTGTTGAGAGGGAGTTTCTCTCGTTGCCCACCCAGGCTGGAGTGCAATAGCACAATCTCGGCTCACCACCACCTCCACCTCCCGGATTCAAGCAATTCTCCTGCCTCAGCCTCCCGAGTAGCTGGGATTACAGGCGTGCGCCACCACGCCCGGCTACTTTTATATTTTTAGTAGAGATGGGGTTTCTCCATGTTGGTCAGGCCAGTCTCGAACTTCTGACCGCAGGTGAACCGCCCGCCTTGGCCTCCCAAAGTGCTGGAATTACAGGCGTGAGCCACCGCGCCTGGCTGATCATGGCTTTTTCTGACTGTATCTCTGGTACATTTTCACACTCCCGTGAATCCATAGGTGCAATCGCCATATATTGAAGGGGTTATCTCTGATATAAAATCTATACAGTTACTATTAATTTTGTATGTGTAAGGTTCTGAAAAAGCACACTGTTGATAAGCTGCAGAAAAGAGAGTAGGGCATCTTCTGTCACAGGCTGTATATTCAGAATTTATTCTAGAAATTGGTAACTTTATTTTTTTTGAGGTGGAGTCTTGCTCTGTCGCCTAGGTTGGAGTGCAGTGGTGCTATCTAGGCTCACTGCAAGCTCCGCCTCCTGGGTTCATGCCATTCTCCTGCCTCAGCCTCCCCAGCAGCTGGGACTACAGGCGACTACAGGCGCACACTGCCACGCCCGGCCAATTTTTTGTAATTTTAGTAGAGATCAGGTTTCACCGTATTAGCCAGGATGGTCTCGATCTCCTGACCTTGTGATCCTCCTACCTCGGCCTCCCAAAGTGCTGGGATTACAGGTGTGAGCCACCTAGCCCGGCCAGAAATTGGTAACTTTATAATATGAAAGTCAGTTCAAGACTCCTTATTTGAACGTAGGCTTATAGATTAATTGATAAACAAAAATTTGACTATAACGATTATTAATATATGCGTAGTACCTTAGTTATAGTACTTTATCGTTTCTTTTATTGGTTTTTGGGTTTTTTGGTGGTTTTCTTGAGATAGGGTCTTACTCTTGCCCATGCTGGAGTACAGTGGCAGAGTCATGGCTCCTTACAGCTTCGACCTCCTGGACTCAAGTCTCTGGCATGCACCTCAGCCTCTGGCATGCACCACCACGCCTGGCTAATTTTGTATTTTTTGTAGAGACAGGGTTTTGCCATGTTGCCCAGGCAGGTCTTGAACTCCTGAGCTCAAGTGATCGTCCTGCCTTTGCCTCCCAAAGTGCCGGGATTACAGGCATGAGCAGCCACACCTGACCTAGTTTATTTTATTGTATATATTTTTTATTGACTAAGTTTGATTTTGTAGATAAAGCTGTTGTGACATGAATATGACTCAGAGAAATGCCAAGATTTCATACTCTGGTAGAGGTGGGTCTAGAGTCTACAGTCTTCTGAATTCCCTCATTTTCTACCAAAGAACTGAATGTTGTTACTGTCATCTGCTGGTGAGCAACAACTGATAGTATGGATAGTAGAGTAGGAAGTTGCTATTTAGTAGTTCATGTGGTAGCATTTCCTTCCACAGCTACTGGTAGGTGCCTTTACTGTGAAGTTTCACGAATTATTACTAAATAAATTTGCCTTGTTTCATTGTTTAGAACACTAATGCTTTTAAACTTGGAACAAACCACTTCTTGTTTTGTTGACTTGGTTTTGTAATTCTTTTTCTGTCCAGTTTTCCTTGTTCCTGGTCAACAAAGAAATGTGGAGTGTCTTGGCTGAATCCTCATACAGACAAGATCATTATGGTGCTGTTAGGTAGGACTTGTATCCAGATGTAAGGTAATATCTCCACCAGCTTAAAGTTGTAAATGTATTTCAAATGCTCCTGAATGGTGGTTTTCTTTTTTTCCTGAATTTAATTCTCTATTATTTTGCCAGGTGATGTTAATTTTGTTCAATAAACCATATATAAAATCTAGAACTATTATGTATCAAAATAGATAGAACTTCTGGCTGGGCATGGTGGTTCATGCCTATAATCCTAACACTTTGGGAGGCCAAGGCAGGTGGATTGCTTAAGCCCAATTCAAGACCAGTCTGGACAACATGGCAAAACCCTGTCTTTACAAAAAGTACAAAAATTAACCGGGTGTGGTGACATGTACCTGTAGTTCCAGCTTACTCAGGAATCTGAGTTCAGAGGATCACCTGAGCCCAGGGAGGTCAAGGCTTCAGTGAGCCGTGATTGTGCCACTGTATTCCAGCCTGAGCAATAGTGTGACTCTTTCTCAAAAAAAAAAAAAAAAAGGGCGGGGGTGCGGGGAGAGGGGGGGTAGTACTTCTGCTTGTTTCTTCTAGTAACTCCAGAACTGGGTTTACTTTATAAACTCATCTGTAACTTTATTTGGGTTTACCTTAGAAGCCATGTTTCTCTTCATAAATCATTCTTGAAATCACCTTATAGCAGATGGTACTTTATAGGTAGAACAGACTAAGTGAACAGCTTTAGATTTTGTTTTTACATAGCCTTTAGAATCCTAAATAAATATATTATTATCCAAACTGTACTAAAGGGAATAATCAGTGTTTCTCTTGGGAGTTACTTTTTTTTTTTTTTTTTTGAGAGGTAGTCTTGCTCTTTCGCCCAGGCTATAGTGCAGTGGCACAATCGTGTCTCACTTCAGCCTCCACCTCGCAGGTTCAAGTGATTCTCCTGCCTCAGCCTCCCGAGTAGCTGGGATTACAGGCACCTGCCACCATGTCTGGCTAATTTTTGTATTTTAGTAGAGATGGGGTTTCACCATGTTGGCCAGGCTGGTCTTGAACTCCTCATCTCCGGTGATCTGCCTGCCTTGGCCTCCCGAAGTGCTGGGATTACAGGCTTGAGCCACCCACACCTGGCCAGGAGTTACTTTCATCCTGCTTTTTTATTGCATGTGCTGCAAATATAGAATTCTACTAAATTGACATTTTCTTGTGATATTAAGACTAGTTCAGATCTCTGCAGGGGCATTTTAAGAAATCCTGGTGGTCAAGGATTTAATCTTACCACTTTTAGATAACTTTTAAAAATTTAAAGCATTCACTGTTTTACTTATATACAAGATACATTACCACAGATAATTATTTATTTATTTAATTTATTTGTTTATGAATGAATGACAGGGTCTCACTATGTCACCCAGGCTGGAATGCAGTGGTGCAATCATGACTCACTGCGGCCTCAACCTTCTGGGCTCAAGCAATTCTCCCACGTCAGTCTCCTGAGTAGCTGGGACCACAGGTTCATGCCACCATGCCCAGCTAACTTTTTCTTTTTTTTTTTTTGGTTAAGACTGGGTCTCACTATGTTGCTCCTGGGCTCAAATGGTTCTCCTACCTCAGCCTCCCAAAGTGCTGGGATTATAGTTGTGAGCCACCATGCTTGGCCATATATTTTTGAGATGGGGTTTTGTTATGTTGCCCAGGCTGAACTTAAGCTCCTGAGCTCAAGAGATCCTCCTACCTCAGCTTCCCAAGTAGCTGGGACTACAGGTGTGCACCACTATGCCTACAAATAATTATTAACTACTGTTACTTTATTTGCAAAATATCCCATTTTTATTAGTTGTCCATCCCAACAGTGCCACAGACTAAAAGTTGTCTAAGAAAATTTACCTGGACTGGGCACAGTGACTCACATCTGTAATCCTAGCACTTCGGGAGGCCGAGGTAGGAGGATCGCTTGAGCCCAGGATTTTGAGACTGACCTGAACAACATAACAAGATCCTGTCTCTAATTTTTTAAAAAATCAAAGAAAAATTACCCAAATTTTAGGCCCACTTGTCTGCATTTTCATGTCATGGATCTGTCAAACGTTCATTCAAGAAACATTTAATGAGGCCAGGCGCGGTGGCTCACGCCTGTAATCCCAGCACTTTGGGAGGCCGAGGCAGGCGGATCATGAGGTCAGGAGATCGAGACCATCCTGGCCAACACAGTGAAACCCCGTCTCTAATAAAAATACACAAAATTAGCCGGGCGTGGTGGCGGGCGCCTGTAGTCCCAGCTACTCGGGAGGCTGAGGCAGGAGAATGGCGTGAACCCGGGGGGCAGAGCTTGCAGTGAGCCGAGATCACACCACTGCACTCCAGCCTGGGCAACAGAGCGAGACTCCATCTCAAAAAAAAGAAAAGAAACATTTAATGAATACCAACTGTATAACAACCTGTCTGATAACTTGATGCGTACAGTAAGGAACAAGAGAAGGCCCTTGCCCTCAAGTTGTTTACAGTCAGATGTGTAAAGCTCTGACCTGGATGTTGATCTCTGAGAATATACAACCTCATTGTCACCCATCCACAAACACTTAACAGTAAACAGTACCAAGCAGGGATTGATAAAGGAGAGACGGTGTAGACTAGGGGTGTCCAATCTTTTGGCTTCCTTGGGCTACATTGGAAGAAGAAAAATTGTCTTGAGTCACACATAAAATATACTAACACTAATGATAGCTGATGAAGTTAAAAAAAATCACAAAAAAGATCTCATAATATTTTAAGAAAGTTTACGAATTTGTGTTGGGCTGCATTCAAAGCCGTCCTGGGCTGCATGTGGCCCATGGGCTGTGGGTTGACTAAGCTTGGCCCAAACCCTAGGTGCTATTGAATTTGGAGGCATTTAAGACTGTTGTAGTCAGGGAAAGTTTACAGAAGGAGATGGACTGAAAGCAGAGGGAAGTTCATCTGGGAAGTTAGAACAATGTGAGCACAATTCAGAGTATGCTTAAACTCGAGCATTGTTTCCTAAAGTGTGGTCCACAGACCGGTAGCATCAGCATCATCTGGTAACTTATTAGAACTGCAGTTTCACAGGCCCCACCTGAGACCTACTGAATCAGAAATACTGGCAATGAGGCCCAGCAATCTGTGCCCTCCAGGTGGTTCTGATGCATGCTAAAGTTTCAGAACCACTAGACTAGAGCAGAGGGTTATTGTATGGAATGAGTAAGCCAAAAACTCTAAAAAGGCAGGCTGGGAACTCATTGTGAACGACTTAGAATGTCAGGCAGGGAATTTGTCTTTTATCCTGCAGACTAGAGCCACCAGCTTGTGACTTGGCTGGATTTGGCTCATAGAATGTGTTTTCTTTGGCCTGAAAGGTGGGTTTTTGGGGGATTTTAAATGGAATTAGTTGTCATCATTTAAAAATCAGCAGATTTTACAAAGAAATCTGTGCTTTCAGCTTACCTTGAAAAATCAGAAGACCTGGCAGAATGGGGCCTACGTTCCATTATGGTAGCAATTGGTGGGAATAGCAAGAAGCCACACCTTCAGATGGGACACATGCTCTCCAGTTTACCACAATCCCTACCAGTTCCTTTGTCTTACACACACCTTTACTTATTTACATTTCCTGCCCTTTGCCTGTAGGTATTTGAGTTTGTAACTTCTGTTGTGGACAGTGGGACATTAATGAAAATTTTGAGAAGCAGAATGACGAGATTTATGTATTTGTTAATTTATTTAACAAACACTAAACAAACATATATGCCAGATGGTACTCTGTTAAGTAATCAGTGTTCAAAGATGAATGAGTCCCAGCTAGCACCAGTGGCTCATGCCTATAATCCCAGCACTTTGGGAAGCCAAGGCTGGTGGATCACTTGAGGTCAGGAGTTCAAGACCAGCCTGGCCAACATAATGAAACCCCCTCTCTACTAAAAATAAAAAATTAGCCGGGGATGATGGTGGGCACCTGTAATCCCAGCTACTCGGGAGGCTGAGGCAGGAGAATTGCTTGAACCTGGGTGGCGGAGGTTGCAGTGAGCCAAGATCATGCCATTGCACTCCAGCCTGGGCAACAGAGCAAGATGCCATCTCAAAAAAAAAAAAAGTTTACTTTGGAGACCCTATAGTTAGAATTTATAACATTGGTTTCATGAGTCATATCCATAATTCAAATCCTGTCTTCAATGTGTCATCTTCAGATTTATGTTGTGTAGGTAAGTTTAACTTTTTTGTTCCTGAGGGATAGAAAATAATACGTAAACTCAAATTCTTCAAGTGATTCTTTCACCTTAGTCTCCCAAAGTGCTGGGAGTATAGGTGTGAGCCACCAAGCCCCCATCTGCTTGGTCCCTTTTAACCACATACTCATGCATGTAATAGTAGCTACTCATTGATTATATTGTGGAACATATGGCTGGCATTTTATTTTATTTTATTTTATTATTATCTTTTTTTTTTGAGACGGAGTCTCGCTATCGCCCAGGCTGGAGTGCAGTGGCCGGATCTCAGCTCACTGCAAGCTCCGCCTCCTGGGTTTATGCCATTCTCCTGCCTCACCTCGCCCGGCTAGTGTTTTTTTTTTTTTTTTTTTTTTGAGACAGAGTCTAGCTCTGTCGCCCAGGCTGGAGTGCAGTGGCCGAATCTCAGCTCACTGCAAGCTCCGCCTCCCGGATTTATGCCATTCTCCTGCCTCAGCGTCCCGAGTAGCTGGGACTACAGGCACCCACCACCTCGCTCAGCCAGTTTTTTGTATTTTTTAGTAGAGACAGGGTTTCACCGTGTTAGCCAGGATGATATCGATCTCCTGACCTCGTGATCCGCCCGTCTTGGCCTCCCAAAGTGCTGGGATTACAGGCTTGAGCCACCGCGCCCGGCCTGGCTGGCATTTTAGCAGCAAAAAAAGACCTCACATCTCAGCTCACTACAGCCTCAACCTCCCACATTCAAGCAATCCTCCTGTCTCAGCCTGCCAAGTAGCTGGGACTACAGGCACATGCCACCACACCTGGCTAATTTTTTGTATATTTTGTAGAGATGTGGTTTCGCCATGTTGCCCAGGTTGGTCTCAAACTCCTGAGCTCAAGCTAACTGCCTGCCTTGACTTCCTAAAGTGCCAGGATTATAGGCATGAGTTACCACATCCAGTCTGTGTACTTTACTTACGAATTAGCTCCTTAGTCATTGCCTTCTCCACCTTTACACACACATATACACCAGCTTCTAGAGGGAGTGTGACTTGCGTCTCTTGCTGTTGGTGACTTTTTAAATGAGCTGGATGTGTGGTAAAGTAGCTGAGGTTGTAATTTGAGTGAGAAGAAAGTGTAGGGGAGGAGAAAGAGCAGGAGGGCATTAGATTACAAGTCAGGAGATGAGCTTGATGATGTGGATTCCAAAGCCTGGAAAGATTAGAAATGAAAATGTAGAAGAGATAACTGAGTCAAAAGTAGGCATACTGACGGCAGAGAAAAAAAGGAAACTGTTCTCATAATTATTCATTTCCATCTTACACAGGTTGAAAAAGTGATATAATAGTTAAAGGAACAAAGGAGAAAATTCAGAAGGAAAGAAAAAACTGGTAAGTAACATATATAATACTTCACTTTTTCTTAGGTCAGATTTCTGCAATTTCTGCTTTGTTGTTCCTAGCTGAGAGATCACAGTAGATGGAAAAGGGTCCACAAGGCACTGAAAGAGCTGTCACAAAGTCCAGTAGCCTTATTCTGTTGGAGAGGCCCTCATTTGCTTATGTTGACTTGAAATTCTAATAATTATGGCTTATATATAATAATAATTATGGCTGATTTACATCCTACAACAGATTTAAAAAGAAAATTAGGAGGTAATGGTGGTTTATTGAAGGAGTTGGGCACATGACAATACTGATCAGTGATAATAGATAGCATGATGTCAGAAAAAACTAGCTCAGAAAGGATAGCAAGCTGGGACCATTTGGTGACAGAAGGGCAAACAGTCCTATAGACCTACTGTAGCCCTTGGAAGCATCTCAGTTTTACAGGAAAACATAACTGATAATCATAATCATGACTCTGAACTATAAATAAAAGGGTATTCCCTGTGGGAAATTATATAATTCACAATGGAAACACTTTTTTTTTTTTTTTTGAGATGGAGTTTTGCTCTTGTTGCCCAGGCTGGAGTGCAATGGCTCAATCACAGCTCACTGCAACCTCCACCTCCCGGGTTC